GAAATCAAATTCATGAATCGAATCGAATCAAATCGTGAGTTGAGTGAATCGTTACATCAATAGTCTCTACAAATGAAAGGGATTAAACTGCTTGATTCATATGAATTACTATGGCTTTATAAACTTTTTTGTAGCTTGAAATTTTGGGTCATGTTAGACTCATTGGGAAAAATTGTGCCTCTACATTTTTGTAACTTTTGCAAAATGTACCTTTACATACAATTTACTGCAGATTCCAACTGAAACGGACACTAGTGGCAGTTAAACACCAGCAACTTTCATTGTTTTTCACAGAAATTATAATTACAGTGGCAGATGAAGGGCATTAACCTTTTAGCATCACTCACCGGACCTTTCATTTTCAATCTGCCTCAATACACACGACACGTAACAAAACATTGTCAGATTCAGACTCATCTGTTTCAGACACAACTGAGCAATTTTAAATCAAGTACACTTTGTGCATGATGCATATTGAGCCACAGGGGAAAATGCCCAGGTTCTTTGTAGCATCAACGAAAGAGACAATTCAGCAGAACTTCAGCATGTGTAGAGAGTTTCAATCTGATCATAAGATTAAACTATGGTTTGCTTTTCTGTAGGCTACAGTGAAGCCCTGTTTGATTGCTTGGTTTAAACTCCTCAATGTCCTCACAGGCCTTTGACATATTATTTGGCAGTATTTGGAGTATGGAGTATTTGGCAGTAAATTGCAGTATGCTTAAATTATCAACAAAAGTACCACCATGAGTACTACTGACAGCTGTTTACCACAAGTTAAAGATTCTAGACTTCAAATGAACTATACTTCAGACCTCAGTTTTACTCAAGTGTGGTTTCGAACGCAGGCGGTCGACAAAAGCGCTCTAGAAAGCTTCATCTTTGTCCAGCATCTGCTCTATGTTTCTCCAGAAGTTATGACTGAAAAATGTCTTTGTACTCTTTTAAACTAAAGTTGCGGCTCTCTCATAACCCCCTCACATAAGCACTTGTCAATGCAGCCGTCTGATGTTGTTGTTGCTATTTTGTTATTGTTGTTGTTCTGTCTCTTTAGTTTTATTTTCTACTGCGAAACAACGGCCCGGGCCAGTGTTGCCATGTTGTGTTGCAACACCAAGCCAATAAGCATGTGCGACCTGTTACAAAAATCGGAAGGTGCACAGTTCGCAGACCCTTGCGTCCGCATAAAAAACTAAGTGTACTTTGGCTTATAGACACTTTATTATGCATGCCAGGCCAGTAGTTGGCAATGTCACTTTGTAAAGAAACACTACACGAACATGTAATAAGCATGTGCATGACATCACAGTTTTCACAAATTCACGTTTTTGTAGTTTACACAGAGACGATAACGGTATCGTTTTCAAAAACTTGCACGATGAAACCCATTTTCAAAAGTTTGCATTTTTAGGTCCCCAAAACGCTGTTGTTGTGTGAAGCAGTTTTCTGCATTTAGTTGAAAATGGTGTTGCGGAAGCGCTCCCTAAATGAACCAAATTTTCAAACAGACTCTTGTAGCATTACTAGCTCCTCTATAAGCAACTAAGAATCAGT